GAATGTGGATTCAACTTCTGATCTAATTATACTTGTTTAGTTTTTCCAGGTGAATATAGAGCCAAATTTTAAAAGCAATGCTTTGAGATGCTTACTCCGCATCTTGGTAAATGCCGATTGCGAACCAGTAGTCTGGAGTAGGGTCTGAGAGTCTGCATTTCTAACAAACCCAAAGGTGATGTTACGCTCTCAGCAAGGTTCTAGACTGCCAAATTTCCTATGTAGTCTTAGTTGTGATGTCTTTATTCAAAAATAACTGTTCTGTTCTTGGTCTTATAATTGTAAGATATTTTGTTAGGTGAGTCCCATATATTTTTTCTCACTTAATCTTTACAACACCCCTGCAAGACTGTAATACATATTAATTATGGAAAATTCAGATTATCTAAAGAAGAAAATGTAGCTACCAGAGATTAAGATAATATTTATTTATAGGTTTAAAAGTTCAAGTGAAGATTAAAGCTCTAAAAGGAACTAAAGCTATAGCTTTGGGAGTATTATATGCATTTTCCTGCCTTAAGGAAAGAAAACAAAACATCATGGGAGTAATATAACTGAAACTAAAATGTATTTGCTTAGAAAAGACCAGAAAAGAATATGAGAGTATACAGTAGTTGCATTAGGGTGACAGGATTGTAACAGGCACTTTCTCCTTTTATCTGCAGTCCAAAATATTTATATTTATAATGTGCATATGTTACCTTTAAAATAAAAATTTTAAAGCCTTAGTCTTCTCAGAAATGCCTCTGAGGAAAAGGTCTGAAAAATAATAATACCTAAACTAAATACTTTACAATTTATAGGAAAATCATCAAGATGGGCAAAGAATAATTCACACAAATGAAAAATGGTAAGTGAGCAACTGAAAAGAATAAAAACAACTTTAGTAAAATAGTAAACAGCTTTACACAGTACAGCTAGTGCTCGACTTACGACCACGATTGGTTCCGACAGACCGGTCGTAACACAATTTGGTCATAAGTTGAGTAGGCTATATGTACAGTACTGTGAAATGATGTTATAAAAGTCTTTAAGTCATATTTTATCATAATTTTCTTTCATTATTGTTATATATCATAATTTTCTTTGTTCATTTTGTGCCATTTGTATCATCTCTACACCATTTTGTTTCTTATTTTTACATTCGTCAGGTTTAAGTAAAACACTGCATTACCAGTACAACTGGTTTAATATTTGCAAAACATACAAAATTACAAAATACAGGTGCATACAAAAATACAAAATACAGGTGTAAAAAATACCAAAGGAAACATTTTCCCAATTGCAAAACATATCAAAATATATAAACATATACGAAACATTTTATTGGCCGCTGGTGCTTCGCTGCGGATCATTGATGTCATCTGAGGCAGCAGTTGGGGTTACCGGAGTTGGTTTTTTCATAAACATGGTGAGCTTTGTCTGAATTGTATGTTTCTTTTTTTCTTCATAAATTTCACGATATGGACGAAACACATCGTGCGCCATCCGTTCAATCCTTGCAAATCGTTTGATGTTTGAGTCCATTGCTTCGAAATGTATAAGAAGTTTATTGGGAGGGGTTTGATGAAAAATATCCAAGACACAAAACACAAATTGCTGTACTGAGTCTGGGATAGCAGTTGAAATGGTGCACGCGGAGATGGTAGTGCTGCCGGAAGCTGGTTGGCAATGTCGTACGCCCAGCTGGGCAACATTTGCGCTGCCAGATGCGGAGCAGTCGTGGCTAGAGATTGTGGTCGTAAAGTCGAATGGTCGTAAGTTGCATAGGTCGTAAGTCGATCAGTACCTGTAGTGAAAAACATGTAGCCAAGTAGGTACCTATTTTTCCCAAAAAGAGGTATTTTAGAACTAACAACCAATGTTGACAAGGCACAGCCAAACCAATATATTTGTTCATTTCTTGTAGTATGCAACCTTTTGAAAGGTAATGTGGTTAACACAAGGATTCATAAATATTTAATATAATGGCAGTCGAATACAAAAATGTTATGCATACTCCATCTGTCATTATGTAACATGTTTACATGCTGAAAGACAATCTTTTGGGGAAAAAAAACTTTTTTTTTTTTTTTTTTTTGGAGGATAAAGAGATGAGATTACAGAATGCTTTAGTGTTTGCTTAAAAATTCTTTAAGTCTTTTTAACTTAAAAAAGGCAAATAACCAAAGTTAACTGTACATGTGATAGCCCTCTATCAAGTAAGTGAACCGCATTTTGAATATTATGGATGTTTATGCTGTTTTGTTTGTTTTTAGCCCTCTTTGGACTAATTCCTATAGAATTTTCCTAAATTAGAAATAAATCCTGAGATTTGTTTTTAACTTTCCTAGCACTAAAGTCAACCACTTACTCAAAATTTATTGAACTCACCTATATGTGGTACAATTATTATCTGGTTGTACAGGGAACATAGAATTGGGACCACAAGGAAATTATGATGTTAAGAAATAGAAAAGTTTAAAGATATTATTTCAAAAATGACTGGAGAACTTTAGCCTTAAAAAAAAATCTGTAAGTTCTGGTTTCAGTTTCTTCTCTTCACTGTCCAAAATTGCATCCAAAATAGCACAGCAACTGCCAAACATGTGCATTAAATCTTGGAAAGCAAAAAGAAAAGTGGTCTGTACCAGTAAGCCACAATAGGAAAAAGTTTAAGCAGAGACTTTCAGAAGTAATCAGTCAGTTGCAGGTTCCATAGAAACTTGAAGCTTTACCCAAGAAACAGGAATAGTAACACGTATTATTGCAAATACTTCACAGAGCTATTTTATGTGTGTCCTCATCTGAAATGGTTTGTCTCTACTTGAACCTCATTGACTGTCTTTCTAGACTTCTTAAAACTGAAACCAAACAGCATACCCTGATTATCTATTTTAGTATTTCCCAGACATGTGTTGGGTGAGTGCTGTTGGCATTTTGGCCAAGACACTTCTTGTGCTGGACTGCGCGCTGATTTTGTGTCCCACTCACTATTTCCAGTTGCAACCCTCAGGAATTGAGCACTAGAAATGCCCTCACAGTTTTCGTGGGGTTAGTGAGCAAGCATTACCTTCTGTTGAGAATTGGTCTAGTCTCTTGAAGAATACTAGTTAGCTCTATCTAAAATAGGTTAATTTCATGTTATAGTGTTTAGGTAAAAGCTTCCCAATGGACATGAATAAAAAGGATTATAGTTCAGTATATTCAGGAAACTAATGTAAGATCTTTGAGTCTTCTTATTTTGTTCCAAGATTGATAATTTAGAACTTTAGGAGAGGACTTGCTATGGTCTTTTTGGAGGGTAATTTAGAAATCTTGGAGGGCATAAAAATCTATTTGCTAGGATGTTCATTTACAGTATTATTGGTAATAGCAAAAATAATAAAAGCTTTAAAAAAAATAAAGTAACCAAGAACAATAAAACCCCACCTACCTAAGTGAATATTACAAATAGAGAAAAGTTTAAATGGGCATATAGTATATGCTATACACATCTATTATTTAAAAGGAAGCAGGACTCTATGTCCTTAATAAATTTTTGACAAACGATGTATTATTAAAGGAAAAAAAGAACAATAGGATCAGTATCATCTCAGTTTTGAAGTAAAATGTGTGTGTATGGATAAATAAGGCCTGGAAGGTGACTTCTTATATTGTTTATCTTTTTTTTTTTCTTCTTCAGTTTCATGCTGTAATATTGTTTAAACAAATAAATTAAAAAAGTAGAGCTAAGGCTTTCAAAGGTTGAGAAAGGGACAGTAATACTTCCTTTGTTTTTGTAGAACATGGTTGGTTCTCCCAATCATTTTTCTTCATTTCTGCCTTTAGACTGCACAATTGTACTTTCAATAAAGCCTACCTCTTGAATCTCTACCCAAAGATATTTTGAAAAGGACCTGGTAACAGGGCAATAAGCAGCACTATTATGGGCACCTTAGGCTCACAATTTTTCATGTTTTAACTGTTTCTCTGTCTTTGCTTCCATGTCTTCTTCAGTTGTTGGGTCCAACCTGCACATCTTTTCCACATACTTTTATTATTCTTACTGCCTTTATCGTAGTTCATTTTACGTCTAGATTATTACAGTAGCCTGTGAAACTGGCCTCTTTCCAGCTTACGTATTTCCAGCTGTGGAGAGTATACCCCAATGAAAATATTGCTTTAGCAATTTGTACCTCTTTGCTCTATAAATTATTTTTTATCTTACCTTTTTTTAGTGGTGGAGTAAGAAGGTAAAGGGAGACGTAGGAGCTGATACTACTGTGTTTCAGTACTGGTGATCTATTGCTAAATAATTGTATATGCTAGCACACTGACCCAACTCTTCTAGGAGGGAGAGTGTCAGCAAAACTAGGAAGAGATTGTAGCCAGCATTTAAAATTGATATATTTATGGGAGAAGCCTGTGTAGTGAATTGTATTTTGGGGTAGGAATTCTGTAGTGAGTAAGCATGTCTGCTCTTTTTCTAATATCTGTTAAGTTTGGCATTATTCCATGTCTTTTATCTTCCCTTTGAGAAATCCTCAGTTGAATCAAGAGGAGAAAAGATCATTTTAAAAAATATCTAGACTAGCATTGTATGAATGAAGACTGTAGAAATCTGGAGAAACCTGCTACAAATTGGTCAGTAAAGTATTCCCTTGATAGCAATTTCTCATTTGGAGGATGTAGTAGGGAGGTCATAGCATCTGGAGAGCTTTTTCCTAAGTGACAGTCATCACATTCTGAGATGGCATCCCATTTATTACCTTTCTCCCTTTGAGAATCAGTTTTAATGAGTCATTATTACTAAGGGAATATGTTTTATTTCTCATGTGCAGGAGCAGAAACTAATTTAGAATAAAGAAAGTGAGTTGGCAATAACAGTGATTATTTCCTTCACGCCCTTGCCAAATCTTTCGTACTCTATAGGCTGAAAACTGCTACTTCCTCTAGGAAATATTCCCTGATTTCCTTCTGGCCTTTGCTATTTAGAAATAATTTGTTCCTCCTCTGATCTTACTTGAATCTTATTTATGACCCTTGTTATTTTCTACATTGTACTATAATTATGTGTGTACTTTAAAAAAAAACAAAACTATATTCTATACTAGAAACTCTTCCTAGAGCTGAGTGCATGTCTAGGAAGTACTTGTATTACCTTGTTATCACGTTTCTTTTAGACTCCTTTAACCTTGAACAATTCCAAAACCTATATTTTTAATATTTCAAGATATACATTTTTGAAGACTTAATGCCAATTGTTTTTCAGAGTGTTCCTCAGTTTGGATTGCCCTGATTTTTTCCCCCTCATGATTAAATTCAGGTTGAAAGACACTGTTTCTATAATAAAAACAATTAAAGAAAGCAAACCATGACAAATTTGCTTGGCTAATAGAAACACCAGAGGAAAAATGTGAAGAAAAGGAATCAACAATACATGTTCTCTAGGATATACTCTAGCCACCCTGAATCTTTATGCTGATGATTCTCAGACTTTTGCAACCTGATTTGATTGATTGATTCCAGATTATATTTTTAGAGGAAATTATTGGAATAATTACAGAAATTTGAATGTGGACTATATTTTAGATAATAGTATCAGTGTTAAATTTAAGTGTGACAATTTGTTGCTGTATAGGAGAGTATCCTTTTACATAGGGTAATATGTAATACAAGTGCATTAAGTACTTGTATTCTCACAGTACTTAATACAACATCTTGAACATAATATAGAGGCTCAGCAAGTTCTTCCTGATCAAATTATTAATTGTGAAGTTTGCTAGGCAAAAGTTAATGAACTTCAAATGTCATTCTTCTTCTACCCCTTTAAAATGCCTTTTACCACAGAGAAAAATTAGCAAAAATTACAAAGCTGATATCCAGTAACTGAAAGGAAAACGATGTATTGAAGAAGGAGCTAGTGTAAATCTAGAAGTGAGCAGAGATGTAGATAAGCGGTGAACTTTATAAAACCTTGTAGGTAATGCAAAAAGTTTGGCCTTATTCTGTACTTGAAGAAGAACCATTTGAAGAGTTTTAAGAGGGGAGTCATTCAAATTTGTGTTTTAAATAAATTAGTCTGATACAGTGAGGAAGCTAACTATAGAAATAGTAAGACTAGAAGATGAGAACCCAATTAGGTTATTGCAAGAATCTAGGAAAGAATAAATCCTAAGATCTTAGAAGAGAAGCAGTATAGTAGGATAAAAGAGAATGGATTTAAGAAATACAGATAAAATTGGTAGGCTTGGTGCCTTATTTGATGTGTAGTAAGGCAGACAGAAGCATCTTGATGAAGTTTTAGAGATTAGATGAAGTGCCGACACCTACGTTAGAGAAGGAATATAGGGAGGAGAGAGAATAGCAGTAACTTTAGTGGCTGAGATGAGTTTTGAACGTGGTGATATTGGATTGTCTGTAGGAGAGCCAGTTGAAGATGTCCAGCAGTCAGTTGGTTATATAAGCCTCAGGTTAAGGGCAAGGTGAAGTCTGAGAATCATCAGCATAAAGATTCAGGGTGGCTAGAGTATATCCTAGAGAACATGTATTGTTGATTCCTTTTCTTCACTTTTTTCTCTGGTGTTTCTATTAGCCAAGCAAATTTGTCATGGTTTGCTTTCTTTAATTGTTTTTATTATAGAAACAGTGTCTTTCAACCTGAATTTAATCATGAGGGGGAAAAAATCAGGGCAATCCAAACTGAGGAACACTCTGAAAAACAATTGGCATTAAGTCTTCAAAAATGTATATCTTGAAATATTAAAAATATAGGTTTTGGAATTGTTCAAGGTTAAAGGAGTCTAAAAGAAACGTGATAACCAAATGCAACCTGATTTGATTGATTGATTCCAGATTATATTTTTAGAGGAAATTATTGGAATAATTACAGAAATTTGAATGTGGACTATATTTTAGATAATAGTATCAGTGTTAAATTTAAGTGTGACAATTTGTTGCTGTATAGGAGAGTATCCTTTTACATAGGGTAAAATGCCGTAATGCAACAACTCCAGTGGTTCAGCACACACAAAAAAGTGTATGTGTAAAGGGATAAAGCAAATGTGGTTTGCATTGTAAGTGCTTCTTGTTATGTAAAAATGTATTTTTTTAAAAGTGTCTAGTTTTCTTCTTTCTTTCTTTTTTGAGACAGTCTTGCTTTGTGTCCCACGCTGCAGTGCAGTGGCGTGACCACAGCTCACTGCATCATCTACTTCCTGGGCTAGTGGCCACCACACCTGGCTAATTTTTCTGTAGAGAAACTCCCAATTTTTCTGGTCTTGAATTCCTGGGCTCAAGCAGTCCTCCTGCCTCAGCCCCCCAAAGTGCTAGAATTCCAGGTGTGAGCCACCGTGCCCAGCTTAGTTTTCTTAATATATTTTTCCATATGTTAGCATATTAGAGGTTGAATACAATTGTATTTATTACATGTTTGTACTTTTTTCCATTGATTATGGGAAATGGTTAAGATAAAATAGCATTTGCTGTGTAACAGCTGGTTTGTCATGGGGTTCTTCTCTTTGCAGGCAAACTTACTAAGTATATGGACTAGAATAAATTATTTTTATCATCTATTATTACTAAACCCGGTATTAGAATAGGATTTAATCTCAGTTATTTAATACAACTAGGGTTGATTCTTGCTCACATTACCTATCCAACAGTTTGTCAGGGAGTAGATCTGCTCCATGCAGTAGCCCAAGAAACCACACTGATGGAATTTCTGACAATGTATATCTGTACATCTGGAACATTAGGCCTCCACAGTGACCACCACATGGAAATAAAGAGGTAGAGTGTCTTCTGTTGGCTGTTAATCTTTCGGCCATGAAATGACAGCCAGGTCATTCAGTTACTCATAGCCTAGTAACCAGAACTAGTTGCCTGACTCTGTTGGTAAGTGTCTGAGAAATGTGGAAAGCACCTGGTTGGTTGGTGAACAATAAATGTCTCTGTCACATATTGTACTTTATCTCAAGAAATATGCACAGTCTTTAAATTTATGGATAATGGCCATTATTGCCATAAATCTGCTTATTAAATTCTACTAAAAGAGAATTACAGGCTGAGTACCCTGAATCAAAAAATCTAAAATCCAAAACTTTTTGAGTGCCTAGATGATGCCACAATTAGAAAATTCCACGCCTGACCTCATGACAGATTGCAGTCAAAACTTGGTGTAATGCGCAAAGGTATTAGAAATTACCCCTGGGCTATGTGTATGAGGTGTATGTGAAACATAAATGAATTTTGTGTTTAGACTTGGGTCCCATCCACAAGATATCATCTCATTATGTATATGCAGATGTGCCAAAATTTGAAAATCCAAAATTTGAAACACTTCTGATTCCAAGCATTGACACTCAACCAGAATCACTTTTAGTGATAAACAGTGGCTTTCCTCTTATATATTGACTGTTTATCACATAATCCATTTTTATGTATTACCTTCAAAACTGTATAATAAATGTAAATGGATTTTGAGAGAAGTTTAGTGATTTGCCCAGTTACTCTGTAACTCTTCTTTCATTTGGAGAGCTGATAGAGTTTTGGGATTTTGCTTTGCCATTTAAATTTAATGGTAGCTACATTTAATACTATTTTAACCTAAAACTTTTTTTATATTTTTAAAAGAGTTTTTTCTCAGATTTTTATTTTTCTTCTTAAAATTTGTATTATTTACATTAAAAATAGCATTAGATAATGTTTTTCAGAATGAGATCTATCAACCCTGTATATAATCATTCTTTTATTCTTGGGCACTTAATTAGTTAGACATTTATCAGAGGTATAAATTCTAATGTATTTCTAAACAAATTTCCAAAGTGTTTTATATTACAGTTTATCTTAAACACGTTTGAAATGTCTACATATTAAATTTATATAAACTTGAGTAACATTTATGTCTGCAAGATACAGCACTATAATTTCTAATACTAAAAATGTTAATAGAACCACAAACAATAGAAAACATTTTAAATTGTAGTTAATTTTAGGTTGTTTATTTTAAATTTAGTTTAAGTCAGTTAACCAGATTCCTCAATTGACTTGATCCCTGTACCAACCCTTCCTCCACACTTCTTTTTATTGAATTAGGTAAATTGTAAACCAGAAGCTCTTAGTAGATGAAGTTCAGGTCAGTACAGGTCAGTACAGGTTCAGTAGTCTGTCATGCCTCTGTAATTCCTGGTTGGAGTTTTGTTCTCAAAATCATACTCTCATGAACAAACACCAAGCTATATCGTAACTATAGAATAAAGGGGAGAGAGTTATATTTTAATATTTAAAATGTTTAAAGCTTTACATGTTTGAAGCAGATTTATTAGCTTAGTAGTTTTAACTTTTGTTCAATTATGGTCAAAAGAGTATTTTTAACAAATAGCCTTCATGTTTAAGTGATCTCTGGCCTTTGTTTTGACATACAAAGATGTTATAAATTTTATCGCATAGTGATATGTTGTAACACATGCCCAAGTATCTCCAAAACTGACTTCCACTTTTATAGAAGTGATGCTAACTGAACATACCAGAAAGTCTTAGGCATTTGTATCAAACTGCCTAAGAACCCAGCCGTTAGCTTGTAAGTCAGTGAACTTATATTTATCATTTATTATCATTGATAGAACATGGACTAAAAGAAAATACATTTGAAGTCCATTTCTTTATCTCTAGCGGAAAAATATGAGAAATGACATCACTCAGTTGGAAATGAACTCTCTTTGTAATTTCATTGGGGGTAGTTTTCCTTTCTTTCGCCAAAAAAGCTATTTCTTGAGGAAAAGGAAAGTTAGTAAAAATTTTTTTCTCATTATCCTTTGTCCAAATTTGAAGTTTGCTAATAAAAGTAGATAATTGCCTTTTAGTAAGTTTCCTCTTTATTGCAAGTTCATTTAGGTGTTTTCTTATTTATACGTTAGGCAGAAGATGACCCCTATTTTCAAGGTTATTTACTAACTTACTGCTTTCATTTAAAAGAAGCTGACAATTTTTTTTTCTGAAACTTTAAAAAAATGCAGTTAAGCACCTGACTAGAATAAAATATCTCTTCAGGTTTTTAAATTGACATGCCAGGTTATTTAATTTCAGTTGTTTCACTAAAACCACAGGAATGCCCTCAGTTTTTACAGCATTTTGTTTTTTAAGTGAATTTTACCAACCACTTATATTTTAATATAGGATTACCAGATTTTATGCTGCTGAGGACATTTTTGTAAAAATTATTTCCCCAAAATATTTTAATAAAAGAGAGGACATTTTAATATCAAAAGCTAAAGTAGGAAATGTGTGTCTTCAGAATAAAAGACTGCCCTTCCATATATGTCAGTTGACAGTATTATACTGAAAAAGTATGCCTCCCATTATCTGTATTTCTCTCCTACCTTTTTTTTTTTTTTTCCTTAAGAGGTAGGGTCTCGTGATATTGCCCAGGTTGACCTTGAACTCCTGAGCTCAAGTGATGCTTCCACTTCATCCTCCCTAGTGGCTGGGACTACAGGCATGTACCACAGCATCCAGTGTTACTTTTTTTCTCTTTACCATGTGCTTCTGTGAACTTTATTTTAATCCCTACTTGAAAAGCATGATTTTGAACACATCCTGTGAGAAAGGTTACAATGCTTATTGCAATAGAAAAGGAGCTTTCAATTTTATATGCAAAGTTTCTGTGTGCCAGATGCCTGACTGAGAAACAAGATATTTTCATTTTAAAATGAGCAAATAATCCTCACCTTTTTTCTAACATAGCAAATTTATCCATATGCATGATGAAAACCTCTGATATTGAACATAGAGATTCTTATTAATTGCAGT